ACAGACAGTTGTCATTGCTGCTTAAAGCAATAGTTTACAGACCAGAAAGTCTCATTCCACCCTTGTTTACACTCTAAGATAATTGTAAAGCTACACACCTGAACCTAATCACACTCAATAATCTCAGAATGACTCATGTAATTTAATTTGAATCCACTAGATGGCGCCAGAACACTCCAAACTGCAGCTGGGGCGTGTGTGAGAGTTGAATGGGTTCACATCACTGGCTCTGACAGACTGACGTCACACAAAACAACTGATGTCATAGAGAACTTCAGAGTCAATGGAGAGGCCAGAACCAAATTCAAATGTGGTACCACCAAAAGGTGGAGAGGGCACCACACAGCGTTTTTTGGCTCAAAAGTGATATTTTATCTAATTTGAACTAAAATGTCAAAAATGACCAGGATATGTAGACAGCACTACAATAAACATACTTATGCAGTTTATGAGTTAAAAAAAGTTGATTTGGTGTTTAGTCGCTCTTTAAGTACTAACTGTACTTCTCCTATACATTTAAGTATAATTACACACATAAATACTGTAATGAAATCTCTATCTGCAATATGATCAAAACACACACACAAAAAAAAACACATTCCTCTCAATATTATTAATTATAGATACTGTTCTAATATTTCCCAGCTTACAATCATGTCATTACCAGTATGAAGTCACATTGTATGGAGAATACGCTCTGCCCTATCACATTAGTCATGCAAGTCCACCTATCTCACCTTGACAAAGAACCCGTGTTTTATTTTAAATAAACTCTAAATTCAGTTTGACTCTTAAGAAACATGTTAACATTGAGCCATCTTTAACCACTATCAAATATACAATTCTTACAAAAAAATACAGTTTCAGATACGTTTGTGGCCGTTGTCTCGCGACTACCAACGGTTACACTGTTGACTCGCGGCAACCCCAACAGATACAATCACCCCAAAGTATCCCTTTTGCCCCTTTAGCTCAATCAAAGGCACTCAAAGCTGTACACAATACATGTCACCACTGTTCTTCTAGCGTTGCCCCGGCAGCAACCACTAGTGAAAGCACCAAGCGCCCTCTGCTGGCGGAACCAAGCATTGCATTTAAAAATTATGTACAATAAAACGGTGGTTATAAAATAAAACTATGGGGTGCAACTATTATGGTATGTAATAATATTACACAGGGCTACAATAACATTGTCTAAGTATTAAAACATTTTGCAATTGACATTGTTGATATTGTCCATTTTGGAGAAAAAAATTAACTTGGAACAGTTCTACCAACAGTATTTCTATAATTTTTGTTTTATTTCAGTTTCATAATTTTCTTAGTTCTTTTTGGTTGTTTCTGGACCTGTTTATGTTTTTGTGTGTTTGTCTATATGTTTATGATATCTTTGAAAAATGAAGTTGCTCTTTGAAACCTGTAAGACAAAACCCTTGAAGGCACTTTTTGATGCTTGGGGCTGTGAGCTGATTGGCTGCGAGAGGGCGGTTCTCTCTTTTTGAATGGCTGCAGCCACTATATACTCTTGCTTTCTTCTTCTTCTGACGGCTTCCGCCAGATTTTGGCACATTTCAACTCTTCAACGCTTTCACCAAATTCAACAAATTATACATCGTTACGACCGGCTTCACCGTGTCATTATTGCTATTACTTTTCACACTTCCACCTTTTGCACTTTACAGATATTTACCAAAGTACAAGCACTTTTTCATATTGACTTACATTGGACCAGTACAATAATTGCCCCGCGGACAACACATTCTTCTTCTTCTATGCAGCCACTCACAATGGCTTCAGCCATTGTACCATTTCTAGTTAATATTTCTGTCTGAAAAAGGTGTGTTTGAGCTTTTGATTTTAAATATGTAGCTTAAGATGCTCGAGGGTTCATGGGAGTTCGCCCAACCTGTCCACATGTGCTTTGTGGATTTGGAGAAGGCGTTCGACTGTATTCCCTGGGGTGTCCTTTGGGGGGTTCTCCGGGAGTACGGGGTCGGCGGTCCTCTGCTGAGGGCCATCCGATCCCTGTATGACCGGAGCCAGAGCTGTGTTCGCATTGCCGGCAGTAAGTCAGACCTGTTCCCGGTGAATGTTGGCCTCCGACAGGGCTGCCCTTTGTCACCGGTTCTGTTCACTGTGTTTATGGACAGACATTTCTAGGCGCAGCCAGGGGTCGGAGGGGGTCTGGTTCGGAGACCACAGGATTTCATCTCTGCTGTTTGCAGACGATGTTGTCCTGTTGGCTCCAACGAACCAGGACCTGCAGCATGCACTGGGGCGGTTTGCAGCAGAGTGTGAAGCGGCTGGGATGAGAATCAGCACCTCCAAATCCGAGGCCATGGTGCTCGACCGGAAAAAGGTGCCTTGCCCTCTACAGGTGGGTGGAGAGGTCCTTCCTCAAGTGGAGGAGTTCAAGTGTCTCGGGGTCTTGTTCACAAGTGAGGGAAGAATGGAGGGTGAGATTGACAAGCGGATCGGTGCAGCGTGCGCAGTGATGCGGTCGCTGTATCGGACCGTTGTGGTAAAGAGGGAGCTGAGCCGAAAGGCAAAGCTCTCGATTTACCGGTCAATCTTTGTTCCCTCCCTCACCTATAGTCATAAGCTTTGGGTAATAACCGAAAGAACGAGATCGCGGATACAAGCGGTCGAAATGAGCTTCCTCCGCAGAGTGGCTGGGCGCTCCCTTATGCCGTGTTCAGACCGATCGCGATGGAGGCGAAAAAATCGCATCAAACGCCAGGCGTTTTTCGCTTGAATATTTGATGACACTCGCTTCTATCGCGGCGATTACTCGCTCTGTTCGCCTGCGGATTTTCGTCGAGATTTCGCCTCGCCGCGTCATCCAATAGGAGGAGCTTATGGCCAGTTGCCGGTTCCGGTTGTTGTTCAACTCAGCATGGCGGGCTTTGATTTTCTGGAACGAGTCACTATACTTTATTTAATGTGGAAAGCCGAACAGCGGCGGCAGCGACGCCGTCTCTGGGTCCACGATATCCTCCAGAGACGCTCCCAATATGGGGAGTACCACCATCTGCTCCAGGAGCTGCGCCTGGATGACGGTCGATTCCAGCGGTATTTCCGTGTGTCCAGGACCCAGTTTGAGGACCTGCTGTCCCGCGTTGGGGCTCGGATCACCGTCCGGGAGACCAACTACAGGCGCTCTATCTCCCCTGCAGAGCGCCTGTCCATCTGTCTTCGGTTAGTAAATCAAGCGGTTCTCAATAAATAAGATTCCAAATGTTATAATCCAAGTACTTTACATGTAAAGCCATTGTGCCACTGTTTAGCTTTTAGATTTATGCCAAACTAATCAGTTAGTTATGCCAAACTAGACACGATAAGCTCGTTTCAGGTGGGGGTTAGATAATTAATAGTCCATTAGGTTAGATAACTAAATGTTGTTCAATGCTACGTCACTGCTCGATTCAGTCCCTGATTGGTCAACGCCCCGCGAATTGACCAAAAAGTTCAGATTTTTCAACTCGAGCGAGTAGGGCGGTGGAGGCGAAATGGCTCTAGGCGCGCGTCAAACGCCCCTTTCGCCACTTTCGTTCCGCTCTTTTCGTTCAAAACGCCCTGTTCGCCTCGCTCTACTCTCGTCATTCGCACCGCCGGCCTGTCATTCGCTCCTGAGCGCACCCGGCCATAGACATAACATGTAAATCACTCGCCCCTGACTCCTCCATCGCGATCGGTCTGAACACGGCATTAGAGATAAGGTGAGGAGCTCAGTCACACGGGAGGAGCTCGGAGTAGAGCCGCTGCTTCTCCACGTCGAGAGGAACCAGTTGAGGTGGCTCGGGCATCTGTTCCGGATGCCTCCTGGACGCCTCCCTGGGGAGGTGTTCCGGGCACGTCCCACCGGGAAGAGGCCCCGGGCAAGACCTAGGACACGCTGGAGGGACTATGTCTCCCAGCTGGCCTGGGAACGCCTTGGGGTCCCCCCGGACGAGCTGGAAAGTGTGTGTGGATAGGGAAGTCTGGGCGTCTCTGCTTAGACTGCTGCCCCCGCGACCTGGCAACGGATAAAGCGGAAGAAAATGGATGGATGGATGGGCTTAAGATGCTAAAAGAAGAAACTCAAATATTTTGCTAAAACATTTATTTATAAAACATATTAAACAGCAAAATTGTCAGGCACTGTACAAGACATTCATAAACTTACATTATATTAAATCTGTTTTCATTATTGCCCCTTAGTGAAAATAAACATTCTGTCTGTTTGAGCAGTGGTTTTTAAATCAGCAAATGCAATTCAAAACATTCAATCTTCAAACACAAAATACATTCAGGGTTAAATTGCATGTTGCCTCAGTAATACACACATTTAAGCATAATCTCAACCGTACAGTAGTTTAATAATTAAACTAGAATAAATCTCTCTTGGTCATGCAAATCTGAACATTGACAGCAACAACGGCTTAAGCTAAGATCAACTTTGCACATCCAATCCTACGAAGCCAACAGTAGTACTCTGCAAAAGTATTCAGGACATACATACATGTGTTTGTAGGTACTGCCCAAAAGCTATTTCAGTATTTTTTTATCTATTGAGTTTGAGTCAAACTTCACTTCAAAAGCTGATTTTTGGTCTAATAAAGGTGCACTAGTGAACTCTTTATGTGTATCTATTGTGTTCTCTTCATTTCTACTGTTTTGTAACCGGCGATGCAACACTGAAATTTCCCCACTGTAGGGCAAAAAAATAATCTTATCTTATAATTTTCTATCCTGATAACTTTACTGCCACCAGTTTGTCTCCAGTTGTTGCTCATTGATAACAGTTGTCCAAATTATATGTTTTTAGAAGAAATGTTTTAGTCATGATTGAGTTGAACACAAATCTAGGAGTAATATTCTAACTTGTGCAAATGCATGAGGCAATATAAAGTCTACTCGACAGCAGCAACACACCGTAGCAACAGTTTCTTTACAGATTAAGTCCCTTTTGTCCCAACCAAATATAGTCAGGATCACAGAGACTTCCAAACACATTGACTTTACAGTTCGGTTTCCTTTTCTTCATCTTCACCAGTTTCTAAATAGTATTCGTCGTCCGTGGTGGTGTCTGAGCTGCTGTCAGAGGACTCCTCGAAGGTGCTGAGGCTGGACAGGTACCCCCGTGAGGGCAGGTGTCCTCTGGGGCACTGGCCGTCTTGGGGAGAGTCTGATCGTCCGGATAAAGAAGGGGGAGAGAGACATCGAGGTTTGGACATGCGTCTTGTCACCGGGGACAACGGGGGAGTGGGGGGAGGTGTGGGAGGGGCCTCTGTATCCCACGGAATGTCAACAATGTCCACGCTTTGACCCCACGCTGGATTGGAAGAAGACTTTCCGGCGCTCCAGCTACTCAACTGTGTGAACGATCTCGGAAGCGATCTTGATCTGACTTTTCCATCGTTTGAATAACGCCCGGATTGAGAACTAGTCTCATGGCCATGTTGTCCGCTCGAGTTTTCCAAATCGATGGATGTATGTCCGCATGAAAAAGTACCAGTTTTGGTCAAATCCCCAACGCTCATGAACCTAGACCCCGTTGATATGCGTCCTGGGCCAGAAGGACGACTCGACAAGACTGAACTCACAGAGAAGGACCTCCCTGGCTCGATACCGTACTTCAAATCTGCGTAGGAATGGGACATGCGTTCTTCGCCCGTGACTGGTCCTGCGCTGGGAGGTCCTGTAGATGCTCGGTTCCTTCTTGAAGACACTAAACTAATCTCGCCAAGTTCACAAGGCGAGGATGACGAGTCTCTTTGTCTGGGCGGCTTTGGGCTGTAGAAGACGCTATCATCGAGCATGTCTGTAGAGGAAAACGGAGACACTGGGGATAGTGACGTAAAGGGGGATAAGGGAGACCTCGGACTAGCACTGGACCTCCTCAAAGCACTTGACGAATTGTGACTGTGTACAGAACTAGAATCATTAGGAGACAAAAACTGATTTGGTTTGAAGTCGAAAGCCTTGAGATCTTGGTTTGGACTATGCATTCTCAAGTGTGGGGAGCTTCTGTTTTTGTGCATCTCGTCGGTATCCGCCATAACTTCGTCGCTCCACATAGAAAACTTGTCCTGCCCAATTTTATTTTTCTCTTTTGGGGTTTGGACAAGGGTATATCTATTGTTCACCCATCTTTGCTTGTCCTCCACCCCTTTGTCGTTATTATTCAGCTCCATTGTCACGTCCTCCTCCTCTAGAGTTTTGTTACTTTCAACTGTGACATCACTAGTGCTGCTGTCACTAGCTGCTGCCTTTTTCCATTTGTTTGGAAACGACTCTTCCTCATTGTTTGGCTTCTTTGAGCTAAATGTCTTTTTGATTTTACTGATCATTTGATCCATTTTACTCGTCTTTTCTGAGTCAAACCGGATCAAACCCGCATTGGGCGTGCTAGAAGTCTTCTTCAATGCAAAGCGGCTTCTTTTTGGGCTTTGTTCACTGTTGCACTCAATTGAATAAAACCTGCTCTTGCCAACCGCCTTTATTTTTCTTTTGGAGTTGTCATCGTCAATGTTTTGGCTTTCTACTGAGCTGCTCGAGCTGAGATTTGACATGTTATCCTGCTCTTTCATAGCCTCCTTTCTCTGAACTTGCTGACATAATTGAAAGTCCTTGGCAACTGGCATGATTGCAGTGGTTTTGGGCACCCTATCTTGTCTTCCCCTCACGCTGTACACCAACGTCTCTGTAACACATGAAGATATTCGAGGAGATTTATCCCCAGGCAGAGATTGCGAGCTCACTTGCACCCGGTTATCAACAAGCTGTATATGTCCATTGGCACGGACCTCCCCGACCAATTTAATAGGATTATTGTTGACTTGATCCAAGTTTAAGTCCTTAGAACTATCTTTTAAGTCTATTTGCACTGGTCGAAAAGAGACTGAGCCAGTGGTCAACAAAGGGTTCTTAACTATTGACAAAGTTGCATTTGTGCTATTTGGGATGTTTGGATGTGAATGGTGTTGAAAAAGTGGCAAATGAGGGGGTTTTGGCTTACTTTCTTGTTGGGATGTCCTACTAGTCACAAGTGTAGAATATGGAGGAGAACTGTAGCGGTTTTTATATCCATTTGAGAAATCAGGGGGTAGTGACAGAGGCGCAGAGCAGCGATATTGTGTGGCTGACTCTGCAGATAAAGTTCTCTCTTGTCTCGGCATATTCAAACCGTGCATTTTGTGGTCAAACGAGTCAGTAGAGAGTTGCTTGTACAATTCTCTTGATTTCATCTCTGCAGAATCAGACGACATAGACCTGTACTTTGTCCCTGCTCCAACTTGAATACTTGAAGATTTAGGTGTTGGTGAAAACAGACTCGGTGGGTTGCCAGATCTCAATACATTAAAAATTGATGGCGCTTTGACATTTCTTGCAGACAATTGATTTAGAGTTTCTTGCTTCTTCTCTTCTGTCTTTGTATCTACAGCATCTTCAAATGTTACTCGCTTAGTTGGCTTTTTCTCGCCCTTTGAATTTTGTATTTTAGGATCGTAGTCCATGCTATTGCTGGTTGTCCTGATTGGTTTCGGGCTGGGTGTGCGTGGGGAGCTAGGGCTGTTATAGTTTGGAGTAGTCGGGGGGGTAAGTAAAGCAGAGGCAGTAACGGGAGGGCTTTGCGGACTTAGATAAGAAGAACTAGAAGAAGTTATGCCATTATGGGTCGGACTGTAGTTAGTTTTTGAGTATAAACCAAAAGTAGGACTTAAATTTGTTTTGGGTAGATAGGGTTTTGGAACATAGCTGCGCTCAAAGCCGAGAGGGGTGAACTTTGGCGAGAGAGGTTCTTCTCTGGAACCTGAAATTGAGGAACTTGGAGCGGACAGACAAGACGTTTTACTGTTTTGGCCCAAATCTACGCTCGACTTGTAGTTGGCGTTAGTTACTGCATTCGTGATATCATTCAAGTGGGATTGCTTTGTCAATTTCTCTTGATATTGTGGCATAGCAGAAGGAGTTTTCAACGCACTGTACATGTTTTGATACTTGCTGCTATTATCTGTGGTCGTATAGCTGCCGTTTGGGCTTAGCAAAGTAGGAGTGAACTCACCTCCTTTTGCTGTATACAAACCACTGCTTGTGTTGTGATTGGTTGGTATTGCTTGACTCACTGCTGTATGTGTTGCAGCAATGCTAAATTTAGAGTTGGACAAAGCACCAGGCAAGCTCATGGGTTTTGGTGGATCCCTGTTCCAACATGAGTCAATTTGGGGTTTGAGCTGTGATGATTGATTGTTGGGTGAATTTTCTGTTATCGCTGGCCCTCCCTGCAGCGTCAGATTACCACTTCGCTCTGCCATGTTTTTGTTGCCTCTGTAATTTGGGACTTCCCCTCTAATTCCAGCATTGTCTTTGTGATTATCATTGCTGTTAAACGGTGTGATTAAACGCATACTGGACTTGTTATTAATATTTGAAGCTACTTGCGTGCTGCTTTCTTTGTTGTCGGTTGGCATCCATGTAATAGTGGAGAGCAGCGGCCTTCTTGGAGTCGAATTGGATTTTAACAAGGCAGTGTGGTCATAAGGCGTTCGTTTGGGCAAAGTCAGTGGCTTCTTGCTTATACTGTCTGGATGATCTCTGCTCAGGGATCTTTGAGGGGGTATGACTTCCTTGCTTATTTTACATTGGGAATAGAGCGACTCTGTGTGTTTCGTTGGCACCGTTGAATAGCTATATGATTTAGACAGCCCATCCCTATGTGTAGGTGACGGCGAATGGGAAGCGTTGACGTTACTTGAAATGGAAGTTGGAGAAAGCTGATTTGTATGTTGAAAATGTTGACTATATTGGGTTGAGAACTGTCGATTGGGGTCTACGTTTTCTGGACTCTGGGTTTGATTTTCAGTAGGACTCATTGGACTGTTGACCCTTCGTAAAGACAAAAGCATGCTGCTCGTCGTTGGCTTTGAACTTAGCGGCGAGTGGCCCCTTTGCGGCGATCTTTGTGGTTCGTTTAAGTCTATGGACATGGGGGACAAGGGAGAGAGTGGAGAGTGTGGAGACAGAGGGGAGAGAGGCGACGGGATGGGTCTGTCGGTTCTCTTATTGTCCAAAGAGGCAGATGTAAGCATTGTTCTTTCATTGTCCAAACTTGTAGGTCCACTCCTTGCTGACCAGCCCACGGTATTGCTCCTTACGAAAGGTGCACGATGCTGGCTTTGCAGTCCACTCGACAGCATCCTCTCAACATCCGAGGAGATTTCTGTCCTGGTTTGCAAGTTCCCCTGAAAGTCCGACATCCCTTCCCTTTTGCTCCTGCGCAGTCGCCCGCTCCAGTGAGGTGCCATGACCGTCACCACCGTAGACGACAGCATTGCAGAGTGTCCCGACAGTTCCTCAGCCCTGGCCTTATCCACGTTTAAATCCAAAGAGTTCGCCCTTTTCGCTGGTTCCTCACATCGAGAAGCGTTTGTGTGATACGGTCCACGGAGGCCATTAGGGAAGCTCTGGATGATTCTGCTGCTGGTTTCGATGCTGATGCAGTTCTTTGTCTCTTTGACTGTTTTCAAAGGAAGAGGGATCTTGTCCACGGCATGCACAGCGAGATCATGGACCTGCAGCAAAGATACATTTCATGATTTGGATGCGAACTGAAAACAAGTAAGAAATGCACAAATTAAAGCTGTCTAACATATTATATACAATTAAATGTATTCTTGCATAGCCCTAAATAACAACAGTAGTTATCTCGGAGGACTTTACACAACCGCTGAATTTGCCAAAACTGATCATTGAACGGAAAACACATTGGCATTAAATCTAAAATCCTTCTCCTAAGTTATGCTGTAAGTGCATTATACTGTATTTCTAATTTCTCCTATAAATGAAAAAACAAATGCAGTTTTTTCACCACAACTTGGTTACATTTTCGGCACAATAAAGTCTACAAATATGAATTATGCTTGATTGTCATTTCTCATTAACTTTTATGTGTTTGTTTCAAGTGTTGCCAATTGATTTCGCTCAAGTTTGAACTTGAGTTTTTTTTTTTTTCATGTTGACATAGTATCTGAAATCCTGGCCAGGCTGTGTACGCAAAGCCTTGAAAACAGAGACATTTTATCTCTCGTGTCAATGCAAATATATTCAAAGTACTTCATTCTGCAAGATACCATCTGACTTTTCAACGTATATGTTTTTGCAGCGTCTCCAAAGCCTCCGTTCCCATGGTGTGGCTATTTAAGCCTCGACAAACAGGTTATTTTGAAAGAGACACAAGAGATTTCAAAAGAACATTGGTGCATACGCCCTGTCTTCTAACCACTGGAATAATCAATCAGCGATGTTTGGTTTGTCGGCAGTTTGATGTGTCGGTTAATTGTCTGCAACAGGTGACAATAACAGAAGCAAAGTAAATACTTATACAGGGCAGTTTGGACTTACACGATACACAATGTTCTTGCTGCACGCTGGAAATGGTCCGTGAAAACTAGAAAGAAGACAGAAGCAGTTTTGAGTCACTTGAACTTTTCACTTTGACCAGTTTTGAGCCTAAACTTTAGCCTGAAGCAACATTAGCAGGTTTTGATTTAGTGCTATAATAAGCCAAAAATATGGGAGCCATCTAGAAATTTGGAGGTAATAAAAGTTTCCCAGTTTTTGATGTGAATATTTTGCAGCCACTGATCTGCAAAATTCACACTGGTGGGAAATTAAATTCAATATTTGCAATTGTCAAACAAAATACTTTAACAATTAAGGTCAATAATTGCCTATTGCAATGAGATAATTTGTTTTAATTAGAAAACGGCATGTGCAAACAAATGTCTAATGATATTATACAGTATGTGTATAGTTCACACAATTGAGTCTGTAAAGGCATCTTGAGTCATTATTCTAAATTGCCAACAAAAAAGAATATGTTGTGTTTTGCTTGGAGGAACGCCGCTGTCACACCCTGCTCTGAACTGTAATGTTTTATCCTTGACATTTGAGGCGTTAGATTCGCCGCGGAAATGTGGACCAACCAGACTTCCAGCATTTTTCCGCCGTCTCTGCTTTCCCCTTTCCTTTAGTAAACAGTTTTCTCAGCTTCAACTTGAACTGTCACACCTGGGTGGAAAGTATGCAGCAAGGTACACAGTTGAATGACCATAAAAGGAAATAGACCAGACTTTTAAACTTCCATTGGACAAGAGCTGATCGATGTCTTCAGCTTTCCTCCCTCACCAGAGTTTAGTGATATTAATAACTACGTTTTATCTGATGCTGGAGTGACTGTTTACGAAAGGCCGGGACGTAGCCACAGCCAGATACAAAGTGTTTATCACTTACTATTGTTCTGGAAGGTAATTCAGGATTTCATAAACAAAGCCCAAAAACAGATTTATTGCGCATTTTTAGTCATGAAAAGTGCTACAAAATCAGTTCAACTATTATTGAATTAAAAATATGTAATTTATCTTTGAGTTTAATTTGCCTTAAAATGATTTGCTTTTTTGTGTGTATATATTGAAATGTTGAAATGACAATAAGCTCAAGTTTGTGACACCTGTACTTCATGCATCATACAAACAGCTTTGAGAAAAGTTCTGGGACAATATTTGTATCTACAATTTGCGCTATTATAAAACATTAAGGAAGTCATGGTTTGATCCACAATCATTATTGTTGGCTACTCATCTTTTGAAACCAGGAAGTTTATAAATGACATAGTAACTTCCTTAACAAACGATTTACTACATTTACATCAAAAAGAGCACACATGAGCCAGTGGTTACAGTCACATCAGGACAGCTCCAGTTTATGCACCAACTTTTATCTCCCTGTGTTTTATCTGGTGTGGCGGTAAGTGAAGTGTGAGGATCAGTTACTGTTTAACTAGAATATGGAACCAGCTCAGGACAATATATTCTGACCTTTGTCCCTGTCAGCTGTCACCCAATCACACTCTGTATGCACTTTGTCTGAGAACCAAGAGAAAGTTTGCCAAGTCAGTGGAGAAAGTCAGTAGAATGCAAATTATATATATTTTTAATAAAAATTGATAAACTGCAACATTTAGGAAAAAGTATAAATATAAGCACCAATATATACAAGATATTATTGCAGCTGCCTGAGGTAAAAAAAAAAGAAAAGCTTTTAAAGTTCAAAGTTATGTAATTTTAAATGGCATTTAATGGTAAATGCTTCATAAAATAGCAGTAAAAATGGCCAACATGTCAGGGCAATATATGTGTCACGCAGATAGAGCAGAGTTATTAGAGCCACAGGCGAAAATATGTGTTTGTATAAAAGAACAGGTGCAAAGTCTTTTATCCATCACTTGTACTGACACATTCATCTGTTTATGAAAACAATAAAAACAATGCTGGATTTAATCAATGGAGCGCCCTGTAACTGTTTAGGACGGTCTGCTTTGGTCTGGAACGTCCTCCACTTGTTTCATGTCTGTGGAGTCACCAGACCACCCCCAATGCAAGAACTAATGTTTTTGAGCAGTAAAAACACTATTTTCATAAATTGATTACGGCTAGTGATGACTAACATTTGATGTAGCTACACTGCAAAAAGTGATGAAAAATAAGCAGAAAAAAGCTCAAATTTAGCAAATTGTATCTTAATTTGAGAACATTCTGACTGCCTTAAAACAAGGGGACAAGCAAAATTATCTTGTTTCATCAAGATACAAGAAATGTGTCTCTGGGAATTAAAACAAATCTTGTTTTTGGTCAGTCAAAATGTAAAAATAACTCTATTCAACTAAGCAAAGGAAGGTTTATCACCCATCATCTGTACTTCTTAGCAAGTTTTCCCGACGTTTCGTCCTCAAACTAGCGGACTTCTTCAGGGAATGAATTCTCGGACCGCGCGTTGGAGATTTATAACCTATGGGTGTGGTTAGCCAAACCCTAATCCTGATACTAACTCATAAACAATCTAAGGTCTGCTTGATGTAGAAGGGAGCAGATCTAACGACCCTGCTGAGGCTAATTATTACCTCATATTTAATCACTTTTTGCAATGACACTTTTTAGTTTTTCTTTAATAGTGTATATAGTGAACAAAGCAGACCAGAAATTCTTATCATCTGTATAAAGATGTCTGAACGAGCCCAGTGACACTTTGGACAGAGTGTTGGCTGAGTGAGGGTGGTCCTCTCTTTTTAACTTTAACTAGTGATAGAACCAAACTGCTTTTAGAGCGAGGAACGAGTTAGTTAGATGGACTTTATTCCAGAGCTAAAATATTTGTGGATTGAAAGTCAGGTCCCCTAAACACAGAGAATTGTTGCTGTAAAGGCCTAAAGTATTTCTTACCTCTTTGTAGAAGTGTCGAGGAGAATGGACTCTGCTTTCTCATTTGGTCGTCTCCCGAGGTTCAACGATAAATGTGTCTTTGTCTGGATTGTGTGTTTCTCTGTGAAGTTTGAAGAAATATTTACTGAATGGAAAGAAATAAAATCCTTGTTCCTTTCCCATATTACAGCTTTCTGATCATGAATTTACCTGTGGAGCTTTGTTCTGTGCTGAGTCCAGCGTCACTGAGCGTCTCGACTTGTTTTCTGTGAAAAACAAAACAAATGTTTTTTTTTTTTCACACAAAGAAACTTCAGTGTCAGCGGGAAATGTGTTGCAAAACAGGAATGAATCTATCCATGTTCAAAACCCACGTCCCATATCTTGCCTTTGGCTTTTTATGATCCAGAGCTTAACCCTCAAACTATCAGGGAACAGATCTCAAGATTGTGTCGTCACGCAACATCACAATTCAATATATTTTATTATTGTATAAACAGTATCGTGTTTTTGCGTTTTGTGCTATCAAGATTTTTTATTTTTTATATTATTTATTAATTTATTTCTACTTGTTTATCTTATTATTATTTTTTTGCTATTATTTTTTTTATTTATAACACACCACGACTGATATCTAATACATTATCTTTTTTGTGCAAATATTGAAAAATTGACTCAATATGAATGCTATTGTCTTCTGAAATATATCACTCATATGCAGTGAAAGGGTGCAAAAGGTTAATAGATCACTTTATTAGTCCAAGGCTGAATATTTTTTTATTTTTATAGATTACTTGATTTGTCAAAAGCAGGAATAAATATAGTACTCGACTAAAATCACATAATACTGTGGATATCAACAAGGATTCTTCTGCGTTCTTGACAATGTCGCATGAATCTTTTAACCAGAACTGAGACCAGACTTTGTAGCAGTTCCCACAAGTCTTTCTTTCTTATTTCTGCGTTCAGAGCAGAAACGATGAAAGGATTAACCTCAACACGACGTAGTGCAACAGTTTAGCAGAGTCACAACCGCTCTCACTGGACTGAGAAGCACTAGTTACGTAACTGCCTCGTTCTGCTCTGAATCCACTCACTTTCATTTACAACCAGCACCACTCACCCACTCACCCTCTCTCCCTCTCACCATCTCACCCTCTCTCCCTCTCACTCTGCTGGCACATGTAGCTGTGTGTGGTGAAGGAGAACAGACGGACACAGATTTGCAGCAACACATGGTGACATGTCAGTTTAACCGTGTAGGACGCACTGACACACGAGTTTGTATTAATGAGTTAAAAGCACATTCATGTTTGTTGTTTCCCCCGATGTAGAGCAGCTGGTGAGTTGTGTGTTGGAGATAGAGGAGCAGACAATGTGATATGGGCTCCTATACGAGTTCAAATGTAATGAATATGGAGAGAGGTGCAAGTAGAGCTCGCCGCCCCCGTCCAAGTCGCTCCCTAAAGGATTTAGATTTTACATCAATATTCTGAATATTAGCAAATGGATGATTCTCATGTCCACAACTTCAGTAAATGAAAAATAAAAATGTAGTATATTATTACAGCAGCTGTAATGTTCTGTTTTTAGGTACTTATTTGTTCATGTAATATACTGTAATTTATTGTATGTTTTCTTTTACCTATGGACCGTAGTTTATTGTGTCCTTATTAAAGATTAATTAATAATAATAATAATAATTCCTTATTCAATAGACTTCTTTTACCCGGACGCTTAAAGCAGTCGCTCTGTCTTATTCTAGTCCTGAGAAGCTTTCCTGATGAAAAAGTTTGGAGACCCCTGCTCTAAACGGTCTGTGGTGATCCAAGGGACCAGCAAAAACAAAGTCTGTGTATGACACGTAAGCTATGTATATAATGTGCTGAATAAACATGACTTTCAAACCAACAAAATAGTTTGACATTTATATTTCAAAGTTGGTTTATTTTTCATTACAAAACATGAAATATGAGGTTGAATTTAACGTGTGAAAGGTTCTTAAAGCTGGAGGACTTTAATCCCAGCCCTCATGAAAAGCACATGTTTCAGAGTCTTGTAAAAGTGAAATGTTGACAACAAGAAGCTGTTTTTATCTTATTTGATCTTTTGACAGTTTTGATCAACGCATTGTACGGAACATCTGTCTGAAAAAAGGCCAAAAAATACGCACGTGTGAAAACTAGTCCGAGAAATTAGACTGTTTTGAGATTCAGGAACTTTTTAGACCAATTTTAATCCAATTAGTTGTGGTTTGAACATTAGGTACCACTGCTTTAAATTCCACTGAACTTTTCTTAACAAAAACAAAAAAGCGTACCTAAAGAAAACTGCAGACAATTCTTTATTCTGTATTGCTGGTGCAGCCTCAGCAGCGTACTTTTATAGGCTAATGACTCAACTTCTTTGTTATAACACTAAAATTTCAAGTGCAGAGACTAAATTAATTTAATGTATTTTTTAATGTATTTTCCAATTTGCAGTAAAACCACATTGGAAAAACTGTGCAAGTCTACCCCACTGGACCATCGTTCCTCATGTACGTCATTCGCGTTAATACAATGGGGGAGAATCAGTGCAGTTGCAGCTGAATCTACAGACTCCTCCACCTTTTACCCTGCAGCCTCTGTCCTTGGCCTCATTCACGTCTGTTCTTTGAGGACTTTTCCAGCAGCGTGACAGGACAGGACCAGAGAGATCCAAAATATGAGGCGTGTTCCACAAGTCTATGTTTCTAATGCCAAGTGCGACACACCCCCCCATGCTCCGTGTGTTTTCACTCCAAACTCTGCCCCAGGACGTACGATGAAACTTTAGCACATCGCAGTCACATCCAAGCTTGTAAATCTCTTCCGAAAACTGTGTGTGTGAATGGTGTTGGTCTGTAAACGATCTGCAGGAGACATGGCTGTTTGAACCACATCGCTAAACTACATAGTTCACATTTCAGGGATCGGAAGCTATTCATGTCACAGTTTGTAAAGTAGAGAACAATGTGTTATAGTCGACAGAATGTAGCACCAGCAACACTTCCCAATGGTCTGCTGTGGAGGCTGAACTTTCAAATGGCATCAGGTTTTGTGAGAAATATACTGTCTCTACTGTTCCCACGTAATGATACTGACCCATGGTGTGCATAGTTCTATGATTACTGTGCCTTCCTCTCAGAGCAAAACAAAACGAGCCTCTACAGGACCATAAAACACAGCTCAGAGTTAACCAGTGGACATGAATAATAATAATAATAAAATGATAATAATAATAATAATAATGCATTGGTTTTTTTCTTACACTGCTTTTTAGGACACGCAAAGACGCTTCACATGTTATTATTCTTTCACTTCATACACAGTGCTGATTGATTACTACTGTAGCCATAGCTGCCCTGAGGCACACTGACAAACACACACACAGACACCAGACTCATTCATTCTAAAGCGTCTTGCCTGAGGACACAACAACAATTCGGCACTTTACAGCCGCAGCTGCCCCACTGTGGTATATGGTGTTACCAGAGGTCTCCCATCACAGTTCTAACTATGCCCTGCCCTGCTTAGCTTCATAGGACTGACAGGATTCGGCTTTCGCATGCAGATATGGCCACAAACATTAAAGCTGGGCAACCTCACTTTTGTGCTTTTGTTTATTCCAGCAGAGAGAGCCTTGTAAAAGTAAAATGTCGTTATAAGTCACTATTTGACTCTTTGGGGGGTCCTTTCTTTTTTCACTTTGGTCAGAAAAAGCTGATTGATGAGTGATAGAACCAAATTGTTTGAAAGTTACGTACCCCAGCTTTAAAACAACACCACATCAATCCTCACTTATTCTAAATGTCTTTTGCTGCTTTTAACAGAAGTTTATAATAACCCACTTTTCCACTGGGAGCTGGTTGTTTGGGGGCAGGTCGTGGGCAGTTCACTGAAGCAGAAACGTACATTCACCCACGACACATTTATCTACGATCATCTACACTTTAGCACTTTACTCTGAAATGATTGAGTAACGTTTTGTATCATTGTTGACTCTGCCCTTTGAAATGGTGTCCTAGGCATTCCTTTCCCCTCAGGTATTATGGCAGAGAGGAGTCCCCGCAGTACAGACTTGCTTGATTTACAGTCTCAGATTATATAAGGAGAACAAACTACATACCAGGAGCAAGAACAGTCAAATTAGCTCAACAACCTCCATGTTTACTCAAAGATAAAGTCCCAAACAAGCCATTATTAATGAGTGCTCATGATAGAAAACTTGCCTTGTCGTCAAAACAGACTCGAAGTGGTCATTCCTCACACTTTGAATCACCATCTGAGCCACTATTTCAGATTAAAAGTGTTAAAGGCACACCGTGTAACTCTTGGCCACTAGGGGCGCTAGACCTGCAACTTTCACGTTTAGCGCCCCTAGTGGCCACAAGCAACTCAGCACTGTCGCAAAAGTCAAACAGTCAGCCGGTGTCTTTTGAGTGTGTATTCAGACAGCATGCACTGGTGTGTGTGTTCAAACTGTAGAGACATGCCTACAGATATTGAGAGACTCTGCTGTGGTCAGCCTCCAGACCGCTGCATTAGTAATCTACCACACATGGACTTCTATATCCTGGATGAGGGAGTTCTGCGTCTAGCTCGTGCTGCGTGGAATGACATCTTTGCAGTCGATGACATCCAGGAACCAGGTGAAGAGCAGCGCTCATACAGACATGCAGCTTACAGCACGATCCCTTTCGCGTTTCCTCTTTTTAGCCTCCTCCAAAGGTTTAAAATGTTTCCTTGCCTCAGCCATGACCAGGAGTCGAGCAGGTGAAAAATGAGTAGCAAAAGCCTTAGCTCCATGAGTATATCAGCGCCTGTAGCCGTAAAGCAAGTCTTTCTTCCAAGTCACGTGACCTGGTGGCAGACGGTCCGTCTGCTCGAAAGTTACATGGGCGGTATTTCAAGAGGGCAGCCCCGCTCGGAGCATTGCAAGTGTCAAGCGCTGTATATTGGCCCAAGTATTCATATAAAATAACTCATATGTGTCAACTCTTTAGGTCACAAAGTCCGCGGTGTGCCTTTAAAGCCCTCGCTCCTGAGTGGGTTATTGTGCATTTGCAGATGGCCCAGAGCTTTCTCATCCATCTGGCTCTTTTTTACGTTAGAGGAAAATAGCTCAAAGTGGGCCAATGCGATGCCGTTTTCACACGTTGTGATTGTACTCTTCATGGAAATCTCACCTCAGTGCTGTCGGGACAAACGCCTTGCTTGAAAATTATTTTGATGTTCTAGTTCAT